CAAGGGGCAGAAAGGGATTCCTTGTTTTGGGCTAAGTTGTAATGTTAGTGTCCTTGTATCTTTGTATTTTCTTCTTTCCTTTCTTGAAGTTCTTTGTGACTCTTGGAAGATAAGTGTGTTTGTCTTCCACTTGTAAATTTTCTACTGATGAATTAATGAAAGTGTTATTGATCAAAAAAAATAAATAAAACATTACTGAAATAATTCAAAACTGGAATTCAGCTTATGCCCAACTTATCCTAATTGTTGTAGATATCCTGCAGTCATGATCATGTGATTTAATTTGTTAGGGGACCTTAACGAGATCTTTGTGCAGCCCAATTCTCCTTTTTTTTCTTATTTTGAATCTTGAGGCATATTTACATGTTATTTACATTTGCATGATTATTTACATTTGGAGTTTAAAGCTCTGAATATTTTTTTGAAGGAAAAAATGATTATTTACATTTGCATTAAATATACAGGAGAAATTCACTAACAGATTAAGCATTCAAGGTAATAATATGAATGAACTAAGGAACAATAATTTAGGAAATAACTTATATGAACAGACCTGATGAGACCAACGAGGGGAAGTTTAGCCACTGATCTCTTCGGCAATGAAATCCAGGATTAAAGTTAACAAAATAGAACAGAAACATGTCAATACCAAAAATATAAGTAGAGAAGTATGATCATAAATTCTATGTAGTCCGAAAAGTCAATAGTATTAGTTAGTTGGTCCACCTTAGCAACAAAGCTTGGAAAGGAAGAAGACATGTGGTATAAAATATCCAAGTAGGAGACATGGTTAGATATGATAGCCCCAGGTCTTTCAGGTTGTTCAGACTGTTCATTGCACTCATTCTAACCAATTAGAAAAACGAAAAGAGGTCAGAAGAAAGAAAAGATTGATCACTAGAACATAAGCACTGGATTTCCAAAATAAATTACACTAAAAGTATGCCAATAAGAGCAATTAAATGCATGTTTAGTTCTTCTCCCCTTTAGAAGAACTTCCATAAATGAAACGTTCTTTTTTTATAAGCAACTTTTTTCTGATAAGTAACTCCCATAATGAAACTGTTATTTTCTTTAAATAGTTAATCATATTCTTGAACACAGTCCCCCTCCCTCTTAGGGAGCCAGTGGATTCAGTTAACCATACAGACATTGCAATCTGCTGTTTAGAACATTTTCAAACATATTCCATGGTTTGCATGCACTTCACCAGAAAGGGAGCCCTAAGAGTTTCTTCTACTCCATTCTTTTCTTTAAATGATAAATCAAATTCTTGAACATAGTTAGTCCCCCTCCCTCTTCGGGGATCAATGGATTCAGATAGCCATACAGATATTACTTTTGCTCAAACATATTTCATGGTTTTCATGCACTTCGTCCATAGAAAGGGAAGCTGCATTAAGAGTTTGTATTGCATGATGTATCATTCAGCAGTCAGGAAATATATAAGAACTAGTAAAGTACAAACACCCCAAGAATTATCTAAGTACAAAACCCCCAAGTCTCATATCACATAAGGAGCTGCCCAATGGCCAATATCAAGTCCCGTACTATACCAAAAACTTACAACCGATGTCCTCCCCAGCAAAGGCAACCTTAATCTGGAAGTAAGCTCAATCATCATTGGATGGTCTAGAAAGCTAGGTTTACTTAAACTGGGCTTCACACAACAGTTTCCATTTTCCAACAATACATAAGAAAAGTAAAATTAAAAACTACCACTAGCTGCAGAGAATTTGGGAGATTAAATATTTGTATTAAAATAGTGAAAGAATCCACGAATTAACGTAGCCAACCAAGCCTAAGGGATACAGCAATTATGGGCCCTATGAAAGTAACTCAACTTCACTGCTCAAATTTCTCTTTCTCACTCCAGGAATTCTTCTCTTTCTTGTGTTTGTATCCCCAAGTCTCCTTGGCCAGCTGGACCTGTGCCTTTCTCTTATCCATCCTATTACAATCCATGGCATGATTGTCCTCAATTTATATCCTCTAGCAATCCGCCGAGATGGAAAATCTAAGACGCTGTACTAATAATAAAATAGTTCAGCTCTTGTTGAATCTCTCGAGGCTGAAAGAGTAATAAAGAGAACGTGGCATCATGAAGAATTCCCACAAAGCATACGCTAATACTAGCCCTAATTTCAGAATAAGGAAGTAAAAGCAAAGTAACCAAAATAAGAATAACACAGACTATTAGCATTTATTTGACACGTCTGATAAACCCATGTTTTGCTTTTGCAAACCTATAGCTACATTGGCAATTCAAATAATAAGAGTGAAATATAAACTAAATTATACCAAGATTTGTCCTAATTTCCTCTAATACAATTGCTCGTATTTCTGCTAATAAAACATTCAGAACGTGCAATGATATTCAGATGGCAGAAAAATGATTAAAAATCAGAATTTATTTTACCTCGCTCGCCAATTTATCCACTGCAAGAGGATTCCGATACGACTCATTAATCCAGTAAAAACCTAGAGTGAAGAGCAATGCCCTCGAAAGAAACCTCCCACACTGAACAATCACGGCTCTTCTCCACCCAACCATGTGAGCATAATCCTCCTGCTCGTCGTCCCGATTCGGGACGGAGAAAAGCGTACAGAATCGACAAATCAAGTAATACAGGACCAGTATAACGATTCCGAGAACTAAGCGGATGGGGACGAGCGTGACGAGAGCGAATCCCAGCAGGAATTTCTCCAGCAACGGCAATTCACCTCTGCCCAACGTCCCGTAGACATCTTTCCGAACGAAGGCTGCGAATTTCTTATCAAGCTCCTCCAAACTCTCAGCAGAGATGGTAGGAGAGCTCACGCTTGAATCAGATTTCAACAATGGGCGGTCGTCTTTACCTGGGACCTCCTCGTGAGACTCGTCGACTGGCTCTAGAGTTTGATTGGTCGAAGTGAGGTCTTTGAGCTCAGACTCCATTCTGAAACCCTAACCCCGATTATTTACTCGGACACCATGGGATTAGACTAGAGAAGCTCCGGAGGTCGGAAAGGGGGAGGAGATGAGGATCCGTAGAAGTGTCGCCGTCTCATCGTGGAGTTGCGGATATTGGTGCTCGTGAATGCTTAAAAGCGGCTCCATCGGACCATCTCACATGACATGACAACGCACATCAAACCGTAATGTAGGTTTCTTGGGCATCGGGGCGGGGCCATGGTCTGGCGTCACCGTCAAGCCCCGTAGTACGTGGTCGGACATCGGAGTCACAAGATCAGCGCTTTAATAGGACCCACACGAGAGAAATCGTCTGGACCAATTATGATTGTGAATTTGTGATGTAATAATAATTGCCTTATTATTTTCTTTTCTTTTAGGGCAATGATTTGGGCCGGTTTGTTTGCGGTGCAATTTCATTTGCACTCATCCAAAAGCATGACGGTGTATACATACAATTTGGGTGTATATTTTGATTTAGGTGGAATTTGGGAGTGCTTATTTGAAAACCAATCGTGCTTATTTTAGCAAGCGCTCATGAATATTTGGTGAAAAGATACTTGTTCCAAATAGAGCTAGTTAACATTATGGGTGTCAATAGGACAGGATCCAATCCGGTTGAACCCAATGTGAATCCATTATAAATAGACCACGTCTAATCCAATCCAACTAATATTTTAGATTATTTTGGACTGGTCTAATTTAATGTTTGGATCATTTAAGTTTGTTTTAATTTAAATTGGTTTCAACCTAAACATGATCCACCGACACCTATATTCTTATCTTATATCAATGGGTCAAATATTGGCTTAGTCCAACCCAATCTAATATAAATTTATTAAAGACGGACTAGCAATCTAATCTAACTAATACTTTGGACCATTAAGTCTGTATTGATCCAAACCAATATGCCTTGTTGGTCCGTCCAAAACCGGTTCATTGACACCCTTAGTTAACTTGGCAGGGCAAGACAAGTCATAAAATAAATAAACACTTAAAAACAAGCTCAAACGTTGGGATTATGAAATACGTGATTATTTGAATAAACACTTATTTTTAAGTACTCCCAAATGTAGCCTATCAACTTTAATCCAGTTTTGTTTCAACTTGTACCCTATGTTAATGCAAATGGGATTGCACTACAAACAAACAATGCCTTGGGTGCATACCATTTTTTTCAAAAAAAAGGGAAAATTGGTTATTCAAAATGTTTTTTCATGAACATTTGCCATGTTTATGAAAAAAAAAATGGCTAGCTCAATCCCTTTCTTTTACTTGTACTTGTGGATTTTTTGTTTTTTCTTTTCAAATTTTTGGAACGTTCCAATTTTTTGGGTAAAGAATAATATGTCATGAGAGCCCATTAGGCTTGAAGCATGGACAACACAAGCCCACCCATACCTTGTGCTGAAACTTAATTAATTATAATGGGGGTGATGAGAATCGAACACTATACCACTTGGTTAAAATGACTCTGGTACCATCTCAAAGAACCATTCAACCTAAAAGCTTAACCTGTTAAGTGAGGTCCTTGAATAGGTTTTAATCTCTTACAACATACATAAACATTAAGCTGAATACCTCACTCAAATTATGGAATGTTTTGGTTTATACCTGATGTGGCTTTTATCACCCAATGGATCATGATTTCTTTCTTTGCACGCACGCATAGGGGGGCAACTATGATACCAAAAAGATACGATATTAGAAAAGCTCACAGCCCCATCAAATGGTACCATAAATAAAATAACCAATCAAGTGGTATTATTCAAAATTTCCTTATTTTAAGGATTTATCTCCTGTTTGTAGTTAAAACACAGTATTGATAGGGGCATTTTAACTGCAAAAAAGAAGTAAAGATTTAAAATAGGGAATGCCAAATGCAGCCTTATTATCCACGATTAACTTATAAGCTGTTGACTATTCTTCTTATTCTCTTTAATCTTGTTTCTTTGCAATGCAATATTATTTGCATTAAGCACAAATGTAAGATAATGCAAGTGAGAAAAATGCAAATGCTAGTTTATTTTTGTTTTGAGCCTTACTTTAATTTATTTCATATATTAGTTTACTGCATCTGCAATGTAAATGGAAAAAAAAAATAGACAAAATTGCAAGGATGGCAATTTCTATCCTACCCAGTGGGTACCCGCCCCTACTCTCTGACGGGGGGAGGGGGTTGCTTAAATGACGAGTTTAGGGGCAGGTACGTGGTTGGGATTCTACAACCTGTACGGGTACAGGTACGGGTACCGTATTAGGCTAAACCCTATCCTCCCCGACCTGCATATTGTTGGAAAACATATAAACATTATGTATTAGGTGTTGAATTTAATAATAATTTAAATTTTATGTGAAAGATAATTGATAGTTTATGTGTTTTTTACATATCTTAATCAAATAATTAGAAATCTTGATGTTTATTTGTATTATTTTACTTATTTATTGCTTATACATGACAATAAATAATAGGAAATTAGATGTGGGTTTTAAACCCAACCCGCCCATACCCTTAAATGCTGGGAGGGTTTTGCACTTTCATGTGTGGGGAGGATTTCGATTCTCAAAATCTAACCCACTATAGGTTTTGGGGCAATTACAGGTTGGGAGGTAGGGAGGCCGATAGCGTCTAGAATTTATAAAACCCTCCCCAAATCCGCTCCGTTGCCATCCCTACAAAATTAAAACAAAAATAAATCAAAATTTACGATCTTCATTGGTACAAAAGAAAAAAAAAATATTGCAACCTTAAAAAAAAGGCTTATTCTTTTTAGAAGTACCTGGATTTATTGGAAAGCAAGTGAATACTTTGCAGTATTTGCATTCCTAGGTTTGGGATCCACGCCATTATTTTGTGCCAAAGAAACGGCATGCCATATTCCCCAAGGTCTTCTATGATTAGATATTGAAGTCTAATACATTAATCCAAGGGCGGAACCAAGTTATTGGATGGGGTCTCTTTGCCCCCTCCTCAAACTTTCGTAGTTCTGTACTTTTGTTAGATTGGGAAAACTTTGCTTCTTAATAATCACCTATTAAATCTCACATGATAGTGAGTTGGTGACATCCCAATTCCCCATTAAAATGTTATGGTTTCACCCACTTAACACTTAACATCTCACATATTAAAAAAAAAAAAAAAAGTGTTTATTTTTACATTCGGGCCTTTTGTAATTGATCCAAACCCTCTCACCCTCTCTCTCCCCTTTCATCTCCTCCCACCCTATTTTTGTCGAAACCTTGTCTCTTCTACCCCTTATTTTATATTCTTGTTCTTGTTTTTGTTCTTGTTCTTGTTAAGGAAAAAAAAAAACAAAATAAAACATAACAAAAGCACTCCTATAAAAGAGTTAAGGGTCCGATGAGTTTCTCTCTCTCTCTCTCTCTCTCTCATGGATTATTTCCATACAGAGTGTTTAGGCCATGTTTGAGAGTGTTTAAGTTAAAAATAAGTGCTTAAAAACAAGCGTTTATTCAAATAAGCACTTATTTGCATTTGACATCCAAATTTTTAAAGTGTTTATTTTTTAAATTAAGCACTTATTTTATATTGTGCGTTTGGTAGTCTTTTTATCTAATGAGTACTTAAATAAGCATTTGTAACTATTTTGTCCTTTATTTTTCTTTCAAATTTTCAAAATATACCCTTTGAAAGCACTTTAAAAAAGTACTTTTATGAAAGCATTTTTACAAAAACACTTTTATGAAAGCACTTTTGTGAAAGTACTTTTATGAAAGCACTTTATAAAACATAAAAGTGTTTTCATAAAAGTATTTTTGTAAAAGTGCTTTCATAAAAGTACTTTCGTAAAAGTGCATTCGTAAAAATGCATTTATAAAAAATGTTTTCATAACAGTACTTTATAAAAGTGTGTTTATAAAAAAATGCTTTTTTTTAGAAAAGTTAACAATTTTATTGAAGAAAGGAGAGGTACACAAGAATGTGTACAAATACAAAAGAGGGGCTAGCCCCCTGAGAATTACACAGGAGGACAGGAATCACAGTACAAAGTCTCTAGAATAACTCCTAATTTTGCTAGACCATCTGCTATTGCATTTAGTTCCCTTGGGATCCAGGTTAGAGAAACATTCAAAGGAGCCGGAAGGTCCCTTGCCTCTGATAGGAAGTGACTAAGTCTCCAAGGTCCAGTTTCCTGTTGTTTCAACCATCTTATAGCATTGGCTGAGTCACCTTCAACTGAGATGCCTTGGATACCCAATTTGCTGACTAGGCGAATCCCTATTAGAGTGACTAACACTTCTGCCTTTGTGGAGTTAGCTATCACAATCGGACCATTATAAACCCAGCATGTGTGACCATTCTCATTTCTTAGAATTCCTCCAATGCCGGCAGCTCCGGGGTTATCATAAGCACTTCCGTCAAAGTACTTTCTTAAAAGTGCTTTCATAAAAATATTTTCTTAAAAGTGCTTTCATAAAAGTACTTATTGTATAAAAGTACTTTCTTAAAAATCAACTAAGGATAAATTTGAAAGAAAAAAAATGAATAAGTGCTTATTGTATAAACACTTAAAAAAAGTTGGAAATTTTAGCTTAAAAAATAAGCCCTTATTTTTTAAATAAGCACTTATTTCGGGCTTACTTCTCAAATACCAATAAGTGCTTAATGGCCAAAATAAGCACTCCCAAACATGGCCTTAATATAATGTAATATAGCCTTTCCATTACCATAAGCCAAAAAAAATGTTATATAACCCCCCCCCCCCAAGAGAAAATTCCTAGGCTCCTAGCTTCACCATTGCACTCATCTTCATATTAACAATACTTTCTTCGCCCATGCGCAGCAATTTGGTTGTCCTCTCTAAGTGTGCTCTATAACTTTCTTTTAAGCTTCCATTTGTTTATAGTACAAATTTCATTTATGTTGGTGTAAATGTAAGTTATGATTTACTATTATTTTAGATTCGACATTGTTTTGTTTGTTTGTGAGAAGTAAAATGATATGACCCCCACTTTATAGGAACAAAGACAATGGAAGCAACATGATGTGATCCCCACTTTATATGAGAGAAGACCATAGGAGAAAGGCAATGAGAATATTGCCTCAATTTTTTTGAATACAAATTTTGCACTTCCAATAAATGCAAATATTGCATCAGCTAAGACTGTAAGAGTGCAAAACATAGTAAAGAACATATGTAAAACTGAACTAGGTGCAAGATTCGTATCTAGCTCACATGC